ACACAGGGATTCCTTCGGCTGTCCCTAAGTCTTCATGTGCTGCTGACTATGGTATATGTTCATTTATGCCGTACGAGGGCCAAGGCCAAGGCTTGAAATCTGCAATTATGATATAGTTTCTTTGCTGCTGCAACATGCAGTATGTCTTCGCTTTAACCTTCCAGTCATGTACCTTCTGTATGCAACTCCTTGCAGCATGATAATCTGCACACAGCACGTCAGAGCACACAGCATGTATTGACACTAAAGATACCAGCAGGTTGCACTTGTGCTGTTCGGAAACGGCTTCCCTCCAAAGGCGGCTTTTGCCCGCAACTGTCCCTAGGCGTTTATGTCCTACAGGCACGCGGACCTGCAGCATGATGGAACCACGGGGTAAGCCGTATGCCAAGATGTTGATTTGCACAGAGCATGCTGAGTAGCCACATGCAAAACACGTTCTTGGGAGTGTCTCTTCACTGTTTCTCTCCAAAAAGCGCAGGAGAAGCCGATTCTCTAGGTTCTTTGGCCGAAGATCCAAGTGTCTCATTCGGATTTCCTGAATAGTGCGAGCGCTTCAAGGTCTCCCAGAAGCATGAGCTATCTTGCATCCAGCTAGGAGCGTACAAGTTTGCCTTTACGTAACTAAGCAGGCGTCTACTTAATTAATCCAAATTAAGTCAGAAGGCAGGGCCGAGCGGGCCAAAAGAAGGCATACTTTAAGAAGTCGCTAGAGCTTATTGGAGGTGCTCAGTGTGGTGATGGCAATCCTTTTCCCGGTCGGATTCACAGTCACACAGCATCCTAAGCGGTCAAGTATGCAACATCATGCGCCTACACAGTTCTTCACCCCCGATAGTTTGTGTTTCAAGATTCTGCGGGAAGGTCCCATCCGTACGCCTGCACTGTGGTACCCTCCAAACCAACATAGATATATAGAAAGGGACGGGCAAAATCTTCTCAACCACCTCTGGTAGTGTGGCAGTTTCCATGTCATTAATTGTTTACCAACAATCTCTGATACTGCGCTGGATTCAGCTTGGCCAAGTCTGCTCCGACAGATCAAAGGTCAAACATGGTCAAACAAGACAAAACAATGTGACGCCAAACGAGGCACATTGCCACTGCAGTCATATCCATTGCTTAAGGTGAGAAGAACAAGTAGCTGCAAGGCCGTCAAAAAGAGGATACACAGAATTCCCAGAATTCCCAGTTGTTGAGCAAGTGGAGAAACCAATCTCCCAAGGTTACCCACTTTTCCTGGGGCATCCCCAGAGCCTGGGGTTCCCATGGTCCGGTCATAAACGCGCATCACAGACGCATCACAGCATCCCTTGCCCACTCGCAAAGTGGTCGGGTTCCATGATGTTTCCATGAAAATCCCTAGGGCTCCTGGCCTACCTCCTGAGGTTTGGTGGTTGGGGTGGGTTTTGGGGGTCTAACCGCCGAACCTGAGGATATGGTTGGAGCCCTAGGGAATTAAAACAAAGACGATGGCATGTGAACTGGATACACCCAGGTCAAAGGGATTGAGAGCCAGTAAGCCAGAAAGGAAGGCTTAGTGCTTCATCTTTCAGACCAGTTATGCCCTGCAGGGCTGACTGGTTCTAAAGGGATTGGTATGCCAGCTTTCATCCCGAAGTTCATCCCCAGAGTTCTTCGTCGCTTTTTGAGCCTTCAAAAGAAATACCTCCGTCTTCCGCGCGGTGTGCGGGTTCCCCCGACGGACGTACAAGCCGGTGACGCTCTTTCCGCCTTGGGACGGATGATCGGAGCTGGGAGGCACAGACGTGGATGAATCAACCTCCCCCCAGACCAAAGGTGACAGACCATCCACAAATGGGAAGGGCGGTGTATTTACTGTGAATTGGTTTATCTAGATGTGTTCATGCTTATTCCGGACCTGCGTGACAAACCAAATGGAGTGATGTTGTGGGGACATCCAATCGTTTACAAAAAACCGTGGTGCCTCAAAGAAAAACACCA